ATCCAATTGTTGAAAATCACGTCATGCTACGCTCTGGGCCACAGCTTCAGCTCAATGATTTATTAGATAAGCACACAGCCGAATTTGCCATAGGAAAACACTTTGGGTAGAGTCATGGGATAACATAGAGGATGAGAAAATAAAAAATTGAAGAACATTTTTCCAGATCTTATCTGGCATTGTATTCACCGAGCTCTCACATTTTGGGGACAAGGACAAAAGCCAATGGTGTTTTCAATGAAAGTAATCTATTGCAGGCTAGAGGTTAATTCATACATTCAACTATTTCAAAGAAGTGAATACAACTAAAGGGTCTGCACAAAGCAAATAGGGATTTTAATTCACAGCTAGCACCATATTCAAGAGGCTCATTATTCACAGGTGATTTAGTTACGAAAGCTATGTGACAGCTTTTGTATGGACAATGTCTTTCAAATGAAACAATTGTTGGGTGTATGACGTCTGCAGCCTGGAATTAAAACGCGGAGAAAATGAAGAGAGCGCATTCAAAAAGATAGCCTATGAGCAACACAACCCATGCAAGGTCACAGAAACAAGAAAGAAACAATACAGAATGATATTATCATGGTCTTGTATGTCCTTCCATTTTCTAATAATGGCTCCCACTGTTGATTTTATCACATACATCAAGCTGCTTACCTCCTTGCAGCTTCAGTCTTCCCCCCAGCCTGGTGCGGTCACACTCTACAACTCATTGTGTCTTGGCCACATGAAGTTTTGGAGTGTGACGGTTTTGAGGTTTGGACCAGATGTCTTTCATACTGATAACAAATACAAACTGGTTCCATTAAATACAGTGGATGACAGAGTAGGCCCTAAAGAAGTAGTGACAGGTCTGTGAGAGCCAGAAATCTACTTGTTGTAGTGACCACATTTTTCCAACATAATTTTGCAAACAAATGATTGAATATGGTTTCTGATTTGTATATTCTTTAAACACATACTGTATGAGATTTAACCATACAAAGAGCTCTCATGATAATACAACTTGTTATCAACAGTAGATCTCTGGCCCGGGAACTAATTATCTGGCACTTTGGAGCACCCATCCCATTCATGACCGTTTCTCTCAACTTTGAGATCAGATCTGGCCAAAAGGACTGCTTTATGGAACAGTGACTTTTACTCTGGTTTTTCCTTGCCAACTAATGACAATTTAACATGAGACGTTCAGGTTAATTGACTTGCAAACCAAATGGAAGCTCTGGTTCCAAACTGATACCCTCTTCCATTCAACTGCGATCTATGAAATATACTCGCCAGATTTTCTAACTTTAATACTGTACATCTTTAAAATAGAGTTGGTCATAGCGCTATAGCACCACACATGTACTCACTCATACCTTACCATAACTACATTTTTACATGTGTCAGCAACATACATAAAATATTATTATTATTATTTCTGTCAAATAATTCTATATCTATCACCACTGACAGATGTCTATGTCTTTGTGGTACAATAGATTTATTTCCTTGATTCTTTCACCTTTGTATTTGACCATCATTCTAATGCACATGTGTCAAAGTCAAGGCCTGCGGGCCAAATCCGGCTTGCGAATGCATTTTACATGGCCCGTTGCTTGCCATTGACGCACTATTACGTCAATTGCGTTTTCCGCTATTTTCATGTTCCCAGATGTCTATTATATCTAATATGTATGGGGATAAGCTTGAGAGCATATTGAATCGAGCCAGCAGGTGGCAGCAGCGCTCTCTGAATGGTTTGAAAACAGCTAGATGCACTTGTTGTGCCTCTTTTTTCTCAACTTTTTGGTGATTTCAGTAAAACTTCCCTCTACTCAACTGGGGATTACAAGCTAGAAACAAAATTCTTTTTGCTGATGAAAGTAGACAGTCTATTCTTTCAGAATCTGGTTTCGGATTTCAGATAGTCATAGTACACAATATTCTGTGGTTCTTGAAAAATCTATAAAAATCATCAGAAACTGCTGGCAATATGGGAGTACCTGTTCTGAAATAGGCTGGCAGGCAATGAGTTAATAAACATTGAACCAGTCCGGCCCTCGGCTCGCAGCAAATTTGTGTTTTTGGCCCTCTGATGTATTTGACTTTGACATGCCTGTTCTAATGCCTTTAGGGTCTTTGAGAAGCTATCAACATGTAAAAACAAGAAAAAACAGACCAACCAAAGAGCCATGATGACCATCCGTGGCACCATCTTCTCATTAAAGGGCACTCAGAGACACCTTGTGAGCGGACTCCAGTCTTCACAGACATTTTGAACATCTCTTTGGACCTCTTTTGACCCGACTGAAAAAGGTCTATAAGCATGTGCACTGACATGTCTGTAATCTGGCTCTTGGCCAGTGGCGGTGTACCCGGAAACGGAATTATCCATTCAATTCTTATGGCGCCTTTTTGCTTCTCGAAAACGTCTTTAAAGGATGGTCCAAAAGTTGCTCTTGGCTCAACGCTACGTTTCAGATGCTGTCAATGCACCAGCCTAGTTCAGCCGCTGTGGACAATTGAATGAATGCGATTTTTCACCCATAAATTTTAAGTAAGTAATTAAGTAAGTAATTTTTATTTATATACCGCCTTTCACAGACCAGAGTCACAAAGCGGTTTACATTTGTTATTTTTTTAATGGAGGAAAGAGGTGTCACGACATCTGTTAATATTTACAGTCTATGCTCTGGAGTCATCTTGCCCTGTCCCCAAGAAGACCAAGATGAAGTCATTTGAGCACCTGGTCCTTTCCCACCTCAGGTCCGTCCCCTAAAACAGCTGCAGTACATTCAAAATGCAGCAGCTCGAGTCCTGACTAGAACCAGGAAGTACGACCACATTAGTCCAGTTCTCAGGTCTTCCTGTGGCTCAGAGAATAGACTTTAAAACAGCTTTGTTTGTGTACAAGTCTCTCCATGGCCTCGCACCAAAATATATTAGTGACAAGTTAGTACCATACGAACCAGCCCGGACTCTGAGGAGCACAGGGACTGGACTCCTGCTGGGACTCTGAGGAGCACAGGGACTGGACTCCTGCTGGGACTCTGGGGAGCACAGGGACTGGACTCCTGCTGGGACTCTGAGGAGCACAGGGACTGGACTCCTGTTAGTGCCCAGAGTCAGAACTAAACATGGGGAGGCTGCTTTTCAGATTCATGCTGCTAAAATCTGGAACAGTCTTCCTGAAGATGTGAGACAGGCCTCCTCTCTGACAATGTTTAAAACCAGGTTAAAAACAGTTCTGTTTAGCTGTGCGTACAACTGAGGGATTTTATATTTTATCTTTCTTTTTAATGTTCTGTGATTATTTGTGATTTTAATGCTTTCTTGTTCAGCACTTTGAGTTGCCTTGTGTATGAATTGTGCTATACAAATAAACTTGCCTTGCCTTCACCCTCCTGGACCCCCTGCAGTTTGGTGGCAACCCGGATCACAAACTCTCTGATTGGTGAAACGGTGGAGGGCGAGACATCGAAATGAAAACAATAAAAATATTTTGAAATCCAAATATCTCTGAACTACAGTTATCAGTTAAAGAAGTATTTAAAAAGAACATGTTTTATTAATGCCTTTTGACAGATTAGGGCCCTTTAATGATGACTAAACATGAAAATCTTACATGTTGCTACCCATACTTCTTTAAGTATGGAATGGAGAATAACGAGCCTGGGCCTGTGTGTGTGGGACACTTCCACTGACCCTGCTGCAGTGGAACCCAATGTTCATGTGCGATAATGACAACACAACAAAATAATAATAACGAAGCGTCCACATGGCTCCACACGCGTCGCTTTGGTTTGGTCTCTAATTAAAAGTAAATAATTGAAAATAGAAGTGATTTGAGCGTATACAGAGGCAGCCGAGCGACTCCCATTAACTGCACTCATTTCAGATAAAGCCACGCAGTAATAAACAATCAACAACGCAGACCAGTCAGGGCTGTTATTAAAACTGGGGTACCTAACTTTCAGGATCCAAAATAAATACTGGAATAATGAAATCCATCTCACGAGGTCCTGGCTCTGAGTGTCTCCGCAGATGAAGTATATTTGCTCTGATTGGTTCACTCTGGACTGCAAATAATGATCAAATATGAGTGGTTTTTGTCTTGAGTACATTGTGACTGTGTTAAAAAGCCATTTAAGTCGTATATCAGATATCTTTAGACATTTTTGCATCTTCTCCCATTGGTAAATCTTGTTTTAAGGCGGTCAAAATTTTCGCAAATGAAGATACATTTTGCAATTATCAATTATTAAATGGTAAAAGTGATTAATCCATTATTAACTTTTTCTTCGTTCATTTTGAAAGTGTGGTTTAAAGTAAACTCTGGGTCACATGGAATTGTAGTGTGCACATGTGAAACCCTCCAACTGTTGGTTCTCACTGAAAAAGGTGGTTTAAAAAAAACAAGAAAAAAATTGCAATTATTAAAGGAAAAGCATAATTATCTTCCAGTGGTGCCCATGATTTTCCACTTCTTAAGGTTTCTTGAAACAAAAAGAAAAATATTAATAAGTTGTATAATCTTAAGTTTCTTCAGCCTGCATGAGTCTATATTTTCTATATTTCTAGTCCATATTTTCACTTTTTTCAGTGTATCAACAGTTTTCTAATGTATTTATCGTCTCAGTCACATCTGTAGATCACATCATTTCAGTTTGAGAACTTGGTTTATAAAGACTGTTTTTTTTCTTACATTTTCCTTCATCAAAATAAAAATAAAATATGATCCAGAACTCCTGGCACTCACACATCCCCCTGCGATCTGGCTTTTTCATGCAGATATGCCAACTCATACTCAATGAACTTGGAAGCATAGCTAACCATTGCAAAGCTGTATCCATGAACTTGGAAGCATGGCTAAGCTGTATGAATGATCTTAACTCTTTAGAGGTCATTTTTGGATAAATGTATTCATAAACAGACCAACGGTGACACCTTTTAACTTGATGGACGGTGGACAAACAGTTACGTCGTGTTTGTTGTGTACTTTTCTACGTTTACTAAAAGCCCAGAACTCTGACTTGGTCTCCGTGGTTACTGTGCCCAGCTCTACGGTTTCCGTCCCGGCCGTCACTCTCGATCAGAGCCTTTCCCACGCTGTCAATCACTGCCACGTCTCTGCCGGCTGACGGACGGCTCCAACGCTGATAGATACACACACACACGAACACACACAGGCGATCGCACGTACCCACAAGCACACACACTTACTGGCACGCACAAGCATAGAGACACACATACAAGCATACACACAGTAATACTGTGTGTATACAGTAATACTCACTCACACACACACAGGCAAGTATACCTTGCCTGTGTGTGTGTCAGCAGCTTTTTACCATCTAAAAAACATTGCCAGGATCAAAAACATAGCGTCTAAAGCAGACCTGGAGATTCTTATCCATGCATTTGTCTCCAGTAGGTTAGACTACTGCAATGGCCTGCTCACAGGTCTGTCCAAACAGGCTGTAAAACAGCTGCAGTACATTCAAAATGCAGCAGCTCGAGTCCTGACTAGAACCAGGAAGTTAGACCACATTAGTCCAGTCCTCAGGTCTCTGCACTGGCTTCCTGTGGCTCAGAGAATAGACTTTAAAACAGCTCTGCTTGTTACAAGTCTCTCCATGGCCTCGCACCAAAATATATTGGTGACATGTTAGTCCCATATGAACCAGCCCGGACTCTGAGGAGCACAGGGACTGGACTCCTGCTGGGACTCTGAGGAGCACAGGGACTGGACTCCTGCTGGGACTCTGAGGAGCACAGGGACTGGACTCCTGCTGGGACTCTGAGGAGCACAGGGACTGGACTCCTGTTAGTGTCCAGAGTCAGAACTAAACATGCGGAGGCTGCTTTTCAGATTCATGCTGCTAAAATCTGGAACAATCTTCCTGAAGATGTGAGACAGGCCTCCTCTCTGACAATGTTTAAAACCAGGTTAAAAACGGTTCTGTTTAGCTGTGCCACAACTGAGGGATTTTATATTTATATTTTTATCTTTCTTTTTAATGTTCTGTGATTATTTATGATTTTAATGCTTTCTTGTTTTGTTCAGCACGTTGAGTTGCCTTGTGTATGAATTGTGCTATACAAATAAACTTGCCTTGCCTTACCTACACAACCACACACAATCACAGGCACACGCAAATGCATGCACAAGCACACACACATATACAAGCGCACACTTGCTTACAAATCTCATTCCTTCCGGTGGGGGTGTACCCGGAAAGAGAATTACCCAATGCATTCCAATGACGCCTTCTTTCCTCTCAAAAACGTCTTTACAGGATGGTCCAAAAGTCGCTCTTGGCCCAAAGCTCCGTTGCAGATGCTGTCAATGGTGAGGGGAGTATTTTTTTTTTGGGAACAGTCTAGGTTAGCAGCTATGGACTTCGGAATGCACTCGTTAAATGAATGGGGCTAGTTCTGGCAGACGCATGCGCAAATGCATTTTTTCACATTTTTCATTCCCACGGCCATTTTGAAAAAGCCCATAGATGACAAAATCCCATTGATCCCTGTGATTGTGTAGGTATACGTACCTGTGTGTGTGTGTGTGTGTGTGTGTGAGTGACTGTGTCTGTATGCTTGTATGTGTCTCCCCCCGCCCCTGAATAACAAAATCAATGTGAATTACAAAAAATTTCAACGGCGGAGATAGGCATGACTTAGTTCGGTAATATTTACAGTCTATGAACGGTTTGATTCTCTGATCTGTGTTGGCGAGATTAGAGATAAATACGGTTGTGATTTAGGGCTATATAAAAATAAATGTAAGTATGTAATCACCCACGGCTACCTCCAGAGGCCAAACACCAAAACATTGGCTGTAAAAATTGTCATTTGTGAGAACATAGTGTGAGGAATCATCCCAGTGTACCAGGATTGAACCAGGAGCATTCAGACAGAAGGGGCGGGGGGAGTAATGGCGTCTCAGGCTTAAAAGACGAATAATAAATGACTCAAACTTGCGTCGCAACATCAACCACTCCCAAAGTTTTAGCGCTAAAGACAATTTCCCAGTTCCCTCTGAGTCCAAACGACAAAGTTGAGTTTTTTAATTACAGCTAAAATCACGTTTCTAAAGATGTGCTGTTGCATGTTTTCAGAGTTTCTCTCTCCACAAAGTTGCTCGTCCTTCGTCCTTTGTTTTATGCTGTGAATATATTTGCTAATTAACAAATGAATAGATTATGAAGGTGCGCGATGACAGGCGGAGGCAGGCGTGTCCTTGGAGCCTTTTCAAAACACCTCGTCGCGTCTGCAGGCTTTCGAAACATGAAAACTCTCAACTTTGATAATTTTGAGAAGAAAAAAAAACGTTCAGGAGAGGCATGGGCAGGAAAGACCTGGGCAGGAGAGGCATGGGCAGGAGAGGCATGGGCAGGAGAGGCATGGGCAGGAGAGGCATGTATAGCAGAGGCATGGGGAGGAGAGGCATGGGCAGGAGAGACATGGGCAGGAGAGACATGTATAGCAGAGGCATGGGCAGGAGAGGCATGGGCAGGAGAGGCATGGGCAGGAGAGACATGTATAGCAGAGGCATGTCTAGCAGAGGCATGGGCAGGAGAGGCATGGGCAGGAGAGGCATGTATAGCAGAGGCATGGGCAGGAGAGGCATGGGCAGGAGAGACATGTATAGCAGAGGCATGTATAGCAGAGGCATGGGGAGGAGAGGCATGTATAGCAGAGGCATGGGCAGGAGAGGCATGGGCAGGAGAGACATGTATAGCAGAGGCATGGGGAGGAGAGGCATGGGCAGGAGAGGCATGTAGAGGCATGGGCAGGAGAGACATGTATAGCAGAGGCATGGGCAGGAGAGACATGTAGAGGCATGGGCAGGAGAGATATGTATAGCAGAGGCATGGGCAGGAGAGGCATGTACAGCAGAGGCATGGGCAGGAGAGGCATGTACAGCAGAGGCATGGGCAGGAGAGGCATGTACAGCAGAGGCATGGGCAGGAGAGGCATGTACAGCAGAGGCATGGGCAGGAGAGGCATGTACAGCAGAGGCATGGGCAGGAGAGGCATGTACAGCAGAGGCATGGGCAGGAGAGGCATGTACAGCAGAGGCATGGGCAGGAGAGGCATGTACAGCAGAGGCATGGGCAGGAGAGGCATGTACAGCAGAGGCATGGGCAGGAGAGACATGTATAGCAGAGGCATGGGCAGGAGAGAATGTATAGCAGAGGCATGGGCAGGAGAGACATGTATAGCAGAGGCATGGGCAGGAGAGACATGTATAGCAGAGGCATGGGCAGGAGAGATATGTATAGCAGAGGCATGGGCAGGAGAGATATGTATAGCAGAGGCATGGGCAGGAGAGGCATGTACAGCAGAGGCATGGGCAGGAGAGACATGTATAGCAGAGGCATGGGCAGGAGAGATATGTATAGCAGAGGCATGGGCAGGAGAGGCATGGGCAGGAGAGACATGTATAGCAGAGGCATGGGCAGGAGAGGCATGTATAGCAGAGGCATGGGCAGGAGAGATATGTATAGCAGAGGCATGGGCAGGAGAGACATGTACAGCAGAGGCATGGGCAGGAGAGACATGTATAGCAGAGGCATGGGCAGGAGAGACATGTATAGCAGAGGCATGGGCAGGAGAGATATGTATAGCAGAGGCATGGGCAGGAGAGACATGTATAGCAGAGGCATGGGCAGGAGAGACATGTATAGCAGAGGCATGGGCAGGAGAGATATGTATAGCAGAGGCATGGGTTAGAGAGGCATGGCCAGGAGAAGCATGGGCAGGAGGGGCAAGGGCAGAAAAGGAATGGGCAGGAGAGGCGTGGGCATCAGTTTCTACAATTGGAAACAGAACCAATTGGTCTGAACCCAGTCCGGAATTTTGAGTCAGACCTTCTCGTACTTTTCAGTTAAGATGATTGAAGATTATACATCTAAAGAAGCATTTACTGCTATGTTTTGTCAAATATAAACCTTTCAATACAATTCTACGACTTCATTCAAGAGTCCAGTTCCTTTTGAATATATTTCATTACTCAAGGCTACACTCCCAACTATTAATTGACATTTCGGACTGATTTGATTTGACCACATTTGATTTGAAAAGCCACCGTCTGCTGCCGATGTAATAAAAGTGTAAAGAGCAGTTTGGATTCCACTCACAGCAGATGAAACATGGCACAGAAGTATATTCTGTCTTTTCATCTCGGCCACTGATAAATACTCTTCAGGTCTAAACACTCAGATTGTTTTGACAGAAGTTTTTAGTCTGGGTTTTTGGGTTAAAATGATTCCGGTCCGAGTGAAACAGGATTTGACGTCACTCACACTGGCTTTGAACTCATCACGAGGACTGGGATATTTGATAATAATAATAATGCATTGGTTTTACGTGGCGCTTTTTTGGACACTCAACGATGCTGTAGCCACAACTGCCCTGGGACGCACTGACAGAAGCAAGGCAACCAGTTTATTAAAGGAATCTAATATAAAAAAAAATGTAAATACAGGATATGCTGAAATTAAATGGCCTTTTCATTTTAGGCCAGAAAATGTTAAAGCAGAAAAGTATTATAAAACAAAGTCAGAACAAAAGAGGAACAAAAGTCTTCTCAATAACCTGAGTCAAACACACAAGTCTATACATTAGAAGTCTATAGATGACAGAGTAGGGCCCTTTAACGATGACAGAGTAGGGCCCTTTAACGATGACAGAGTAGGGCCATTTAACGATGACAGAGTAGGGCCCTTTAACGATGACAGAGTAGGGCCCTTTAACGATGACAGAGTAGGGCCCTTTAACGATGACTGAGTAGGGCCCTTTAACAATGACTGAGTAGGGCCCTTTAACGATGACAGAGAATGGCCCTTTAACAATGACTGAGTAGGGCCCTTTAACGATGACAGAGAAGGGCCCTTTAACAATGACTGAGTAGGGCCCTTTAACGATGACAGAGAATGGCCCTTTAACAATGACTGAGTAGGGCCCTTTAACGATGACAGAGAAGGGCCCTTTAACAATGACTGAGTAGGGCCCTTTAACAATGACTGAGTAGGGCCCTTTAACGATGACAGAGAAGCGCCCTTTAACAATGACTGAGTAGGGCCCTTTAACGATGACAGAGAAGGGCCCTTTAACAATGACTGAGTAGGGCCCTTTAACGATGACAGAGAAGGGCCCTTTAACAATGACAGAGTAGGGCCCTTTAAGACTGTACAACGAACAATGAGGACTAAAACACTGCTGACCTAACCTCACATGTTGTGCATCTGTGCAATAACTTAAAATAATGTCAAAATGCTAACCACTCAGCCACCGTGCTAAGTTAATTTATCTTGTGCTCCTCATTCCTACTGTTCTTTAACTGGTAATGCAACACTGAAATTTCCCCACTGTGGCACGAATGAAGGAGCTCTTGATTTGAATTAATGTAAAACCAATTTATAAAAAAATGAATCTCGTAAATCTTCCAGATACAGACACCAGATGTTACAACGCCCTCTTGTTGTCAGCCAATTGACTCCCATGGTACCTCCAGATGGATTGATGGTTTCTGCCCATATCTTTCCGCACGCTCGCATCACTCACAGATTAGTTTTGCTTGTCTAATTCCGTGTTTTTTGCTTTTATGTTTATCTCCAGTTCACCTCCGAAGACCTCACACGCCACGTTTGCCTCTCGGCCCCGCCCCTTCCTACTTCCGTGCCATCTCTGATTGGCCCTGGCGTCTCCCTGATAATTACCCCACTCCGTCTCCTCTCCACCACAATTAGCGCTAATGTTTTGCATATTTTAAACCTCAAACGTCCACCGCCTTTTTTATTTTGTTATTTTTTTCTGCCCACACGATTAGACCCGTTGCACGGAGAGGAATAATTGAAGCCGGTTCGTATTAGAATCCTGTTAATTACTGTAGGGATAATACGCAAGCATTGGTTTTCAATTGGCTTCTTTGAGTAATGGATAATTCCCCAGAAAGAGAAAAATCTATTAGTGAACGACCGGATTTATCTGTCACAGTCTTGTTAGATGGAGAATTATGAGGGCTGCTCCCGTTTTCAGAGCGATATGAGGCGGAGAAGGGATGTGCTGGAAAAGGATGAAGAGGTTTCTAATGGGGAAGTGGGAATAATGGACAGTTTTCCGATTCAGGTGACGTCTCAGGGCAAAGCAACTTTCAAGAGCTCTGGACCAATTTGTCAGATTGCTTTCAACTAGAGATGGCCACATGTGGCCATGATGAATTTTAATGGGAAAAATGTAATTTAAAGCGCTAGTATGAAGCCTAATTTGGCATTATTTTGGCCCTTCAACATAATAGTGAGTTAAAGTAGCAATATGTAAGATTTTCATGTCAAGTCATCATTAAAGGGCCCTAATCTGTCAAAAGGCATTAATAAACTATGGTCTTTTCCAATACTTCTTTAACTGAGAGCTGTAGTTCAGAGATATTTGGATTTCTAAATTAGTTTTACAGCCCCTAAATCTTGTTATTGTTTTTATTTTGATGCCCCGCCCTCCGCCGTTTCACCAATCAGAAAGTCCGTGATCCGGGCGCCAGAACTCACCGCGTGGAGCTAATCTCACTGGTAAAGTACCATGTGGCGCAGAACTAAAAAAGGTCTCGTTATGATTTTCAAATCATTAACGACAAAGCAAGGAATAAAACCAGGATTTCTATCTTTGTGAAAAAGGTGTTGGTTATAGATTTGTTGTTGACAAAACTCTTGTCTATTCAGCTGTTATGGTCCCAGCTGGATTCGTCTGCATATCTGGCAACCTGAGTCAGGGAGAGTGGGAGAGGCTGCAGTACCACTTTTGAACATATTTTTACGTACTGCTAATTTAACTCCACAGTTGTTTCAAAGTGTCATGAAATCTCACAAAAAAAGTGAAATATAAAACTGTTTTAGGACAAGTTATAACACATTTTACTTCCATTAGTTGTGGTTTGAAAGTTATGTACCCCAGCTTTACCAGTCTCTTTGAGGTGGTCTGTCCGGTGCGGTTCTCCGGCAGCTGCCCCTGTGTCTCCATGCGTTAGCCACGGCAGGTCACGCGGCTAACGGGTTAATTAGCCGGATGATGGCCGCGGCGTGCGCGAAATGTCAGGTTTCCGCGGTTACGACTTGACTTCCTGATGGGCGGGTCAGAGGTGGAGAGCGGAGCCTCTTCACTGTCGCCTTTATCTAAATGTCACAAGGCGGCGGTTATGGAGCTGACGGCAGGACAAAGAACCAGGAGGAGAGAGGAGAGCACGGGGCAGAAGGACAGACACTCGCACACCCAAGAATTTTTCTGTTTCATTATTAGTGATTGGGTAATCTCTGTTTATTTATTTATTATTGGTTAACATGTTATTGTTTTTTTAAAGGAGCAGAATGGAAAAAATCTGGTCAAAAGTGGTACTGCAGCCTCTCCCACTCTCCCTGACTCGGGTTGCCAGATATGCAAATTAATCCTGCTGGGACCATATCTGAAAAGAGTTTTACCAATGACAAATCTATAACCAACACCTTTTTCACAAAGATAGAAATCCTGGGTTTAATCCTTGTTTTGTCGTTAATGATTTGAGAATCAAAACGAGACCTTTTTTAGTTCATCACTGTAGCAATTGCACCTTTAAAGACAGAAGGGGTGGAGGGGTGGAGGTACATGTTAGGGCCAGAGGTTCTAGAAATCAGCAAGGATGGATCTGAAAACAACATAAATGGTGTTTCAGGGTTAAAAGCTTGTGCATAATGTGTGGTCTCCTTTAAGATAAACTTTTTACTAATTGCTGTATGATTTTTTTTTTTTATTTACCACCATGTGAGAAACTGTTATGGAAATATGTGGTGCTAATGTGTAGGTGTTAATGTATTTGTATGTGTTTGTATATATATATGCAAAAAACATGCATGAACTACAGTACATTTGATATTGAAACGTTTTTTTGTGTGTGTAGCATCCATTATCTCTATTTGTTTACGCTTTTAAAATACTCTCTAAAAAGACCATCAGACAATGACACACAAAAAACCGTCCTGACCCTTTTGAGCAAACACATCAAATTATCGCTCCCAAAAAAATCCATTTTGTTTCTCAATTAACTCAGTAATGGACCCGCGTCTTTTCTCCTCCGACACAGCCACAGAACATGTACAAAATAGAGGGAATAAAAGAAAAAACATACGAGCTTCTTAGTATCAATCAACTCCCCAGCGTTCTGTGCTTGGGTTTATTGGGAAGAATGGCGTTGATTGGTGGCTCTCATTAGCAGCTTTTCAAACCGGCGCCTTCCAAAAGCACACGAAGCGAGTGTTTTTAGACGCGCCGGGAAACAAGAAAGAATAGATTGAAAACACATCGATTAATTACACAAAGACAGCGCCGGAGTATTTGGTAGACACGGACGCGGAGACGGCAAAGGGAAGGATCGTACGCACGGAAAGGAGCGTCTCCGCAGGGGGTCTCATGGTTTGAGAGTCAGATGTGGAAGAGGTTGGAGCGGGATGTAAGTCCCTGTGATCGTTTTTTTAAAGGAGCAGTATGGGAAAAATCTGGTCAAAAGTGGTACTGCAGCCTCTCCCACTCTCCCTGCCTCAGGTTGCCAGATATGCAGACGAATCCAGCTGGAAACATAATATCTGAAAAGAAAAACAACAAATCTAAAACCAACACCTTTTTCACAAAGATAGAAATCCTGGTTTTATTCCTTGTTTTGTCGTTAATGATTTGAGAATCAAAACGAGACCTTTTTTAGTTCTATGCCACATGGTACTTTACCAGTGAGATTAGCTCCACGCGGTGAGTTCTGGCGCCCGGATCACAGACTTTCTGATTGGTGAAACGGTGGAGGGCGGGACATCGAAATGAAAACAAGAACAAGATTTAGGGGCTGGAAAAGTAATTTAGAAATATCTCTGGGCTACAGTTATTATTTAAAGAATTATTGGAAAATAATAAATAAGTTTTATTAATGCCTTTGGACAGATTAGGGCCCTTTAATGATGACTTGACATGAAAATCTTAAAATGAAGAATGCCACAAGTTTGGACCAATTTTCTTGGACCAATTCAATTTCATGTATTTTTACTGTTATTTTTAAATTGGATAACTGGTATTTTATTGTTTTTTTATTGAATTTTTTTAAGCAAATAAAGCTGGAAAAGCTGTATTTTTAAATGTGTTGATTTTATCTCAGTGCATTTTGTGGAAACTTGTTTTTGATATCAAATGTGCCATATAAAAAGTGGATGGTCATTGCGTAATCATTTTAAAACCAGAGCAGGAGCGACACTTTTGTGCAGATTTGTGCCAGATTTACTGATATTTCCAACCTTTTAACAATGTAAAAACACAGGAACAATCTCTCAATTCAGAATATTTAACTTTCACTTTCACTTTCCCTCCGTGGCCTACTTCAAACACTTTTCCCGAGTTACTTTTCTCTTTGTCTCAACGCGGGTCTCGTGGGCACTTTTCTTAATGATCGTCGATTGTGTTTTAAAATTACCTTTTTAATTTAGGCCTCATATTTGGTGCCTTTTTACTGCCGTTAATTCACTTGAATGATTACTGTTGTTATCGGGGGCCCCCAGTGCACCCCTGCCCCATCGGAGCCCGGATTAGCACAGGCCTTTTCGCTTCCTATTGGAGGCGGCCGCTTGCAAGGCATCGTGGGAATTGTAGTTGTCTTTTGTGTAGAAGTTTGAACCGGGGGAGGTTTTTTGTAGGTTAAAGAAAAGGGGACAATGCAGAACAATAGGGACGCATTATGAGGGCAGCGTTTAATTTAGAAAAGACAAGAGACGGTTTTTGTCTCATTTAGAAATGACTGTGTGGAAAATGGTTTTACTAATGGTCAATGAAAAGTTAAACGAATCAAATACATTTAAACATAGCAGAATAAAAGTAAAATTCATTTCTTTACAGAAAATTACAGAAAATCAAAAACAAATATTGAATGATGAATGATTTCTTAAGCCAATTCAATGTATTTTTGTACAGCCCTAAATCACAGCTGTAGATTTCTCTGAGGATTTTACCAAGCTGTCGATTCTCCAACACAGATCAGAAAATCAAACAGTTGAAACATAAATAAAAGCAATGGAGTCATTGGTCAAAAAAGGGACAGAGACCAATGTCCATAAATGTCCTGGATCATCCCCACTGTCTTTAGACCCAATTATTCACCACAGAATTATTTGTGAAATTAAAAGATAGGTACCCCAGCTTTAATAACTGCTTAAAGTATGAAGAATTGCCAATATACCAATGTCCATAAATGTTAAAATTCAATATGGAAATTTCAATGTATGATTTACATTTTAAAAAGACCCTAACCCGTTTTTTTAAATTAATGAGCATATTAAAATATCAAATTAACACAGTAATTCAAATAGAGAACAGTCAGAAAAGAGATTTGTCTGTCAACTCATTTACTATTTGTATTATGTGTATTTATGTATTTTTTGCATGTCATTTATTGTTTATATTGTTTTCTTTTGCATAACTTTCGAAATAAATTATTACTACTACTACTTGTTCATGTGCAAAGGATAAACTGTGATAAACCATTAATAACAACAAATCTATCTCCATCTAAAAAAACAGGAGAATCAAACCACGGAGACGACATTCAGACTCGTTCTACAGTCTGACTCCTGGATCCAGCTTTAAAGTGACCACATGTTGAATGAATAAACGCCACAGCGAGAAAACCTCACCATTTATTCATCTCCTACAAGTTTGTACCTCCACCAAACACAACGTCTTTCAAATGTGTACG